TGTTACAAGATATGTAGGAGCTTGTATTAGATTTTCCACTCATACAAAGACTCCCTTCATGCCTATTTATAGGCTTTACTTACAAGATTCTAGAATTTTCTACTAATTTCATTGTTTCTACACTATTCTATTTCTACACATTTCTTCTTCTTTTTCTTTTTCTAGAATCATGTTGTAGCTTCTACTAGTACACATATGCTTTCTACATAATTCTAGAAGTTTTACATAATTCTAGATTTTCTTAATTCCAGAATTATCTATCTTCTACTTTTAAACATTTCTAGAATCTTCTAAGGATTCTAGATATTACTCATATGTAATTCCTAATTCTAGTAACATCTAAGATTTTATATTCTAGATCTTTCTAGAATTTGTATCATCTTTCAACACTCCTCCTTGATGCAAATTCTTGTAACTCCAAGCATGAAACGTAATTATTCAAACTTGGCTCTTGGTAGTGCCTTGGTGAATATGTCTGCAATTTGATCTTCTGTAGTGCAGTACTCAAGTTGAATTTGTTTAGTCGCTTCAGCCTCTCTGATGAAGTGATATTTAATAGCTATATGTTTTGTTCTTTGATGATGAACATGATTCTTCGTCATTGCTATTGCTGATTTGTTGTCGCAATAGATAATAGTTGGTCCATCTTGTGGTTTGCCCATTTCTTCAAGTATTCTTCGTAGCCATATTGCTTGACTTGTAGTTTCAGCAACAGCTACGTATTCTGCTTCAGCTGTTGATTGTGCCACAGTTGCTTGCTTCTTTGATGCCCATGAGAAAAAACCCGATCCAAGTGAGAAGGCGTATCCTGACGTACTCTTCATGTCGTCTATTGATCCTACCCAATCACTGTCGGTGTAGCAAATCATCCTTGAGTTGGTCATGATCTTGTACCATATACCAAACTCTCTTGTGCCTTGCAGATACCTTAAAATCCTTTTTCCTGCTCCATAGTGAATCTGACTTGGCTTTTGCATGAATCTTGATAGAAGACTTGTAGCATACATAATGTCTGGTCGTGTAGCTGTGAGATATAGAAGGCTTCCGATCAAACTCCTGTATCGTGATACATTTACTTCTGGTGCTCCATCATCTTTCTTTAGCTTTTCGTTTACCACCAAAGGAGTAGTGACAGGTTTACATATGTACATCTTGAATCTCTTTAGTAGAGCTTCAGTATATTTCTTCTGAGAGATAAATATTCCTTCTTTTTGTTATATCACCTCTATCCCGAGGAAGTAGTTCATCAAGCCAAGATCAGTCATTTCGAATGTTTTCATCATATCTTCTTTGAATTCTTTCATCATTTCCTTATTGTTTCCTGTATAGATGAGATCATCAACATATAAGGAGACAATGATATTATACTGACCTTGTGTCTTGATATAAAGTGTTGGCTCACTCTTGCTCCTCCTAAATCCTTGATCGATAAAATATTTATCAATCTTACTATACCATGCTCGAGGAGCTTGCTTCAGGCCATATAGAGCTTTTCTTAGTCTTAGTACTTTTCCTTTGTGGCCTTTGTTGATGAAGCCTTGTGGTTGCTCAACATAGATCTCTTCTTCAAGTGTTCCATTGAGAAAGGCGGATTTGACATCCAGTTGATGGATGTTCCAACCTTTTTGTGCAACAAGGGCTATTAAAGCTCTAATTGTATCCAGACGAGCAACTGGAGCAAAAGTCTCATTGTAGTCGATCCCAGGCTGTTGTGAGTATCCTTTTGCGACCAATCTTGCCTTATATTTTTGTATGGTTCCATCAGGGTTGAGCTTAGTTTTATATATTCATTTTACTCCAATGATATCTTTTCCGTGAGGACAGTACACAAGCTCCCAAGTATTATTCTTCTCAATCATTTTGATTTCTTCTTCCATGGCCTTGACCCATACTTCTTGCTTTGAAGCTTCTTCATAGCAGGAAGGCTCAATGATGGCCATGTTACAAGTTTCATATATATCTACCAAAGATCTTACACGTCTTGGTGTAGACTCTGGTGAAGTATATTCTTCTTCTTCTTGTGGAGGTGGAGAAAGCGTACCTGGATCTCCTGTTTCTTCTTCAGGTTGTTGTACTGGAACCAGGATGTTGCTTCTAACAACTTTTTCTTCTTCCCAATTCCAAAAAACATTTTTGTCAACCTCAACATCTCGACTGATGACGAGTTTCTTTGTTTGTAGGTTGTAGACTCGATAGCCTTTTGATTGTTGGCTGTATCCCAAGAATATTCCTCTTATAGTTTTGTCTTCAAGCTTATGCCTCCTCTGATCAGGAACATGTATGTAGGAAATTGATCCAAATATTCGTAGGTGTTTAGCTGATGGTTTTCTTCCACTCCAAGATTCAATAGGAGTCTTGTTTTGAACTGCCTTAGTTGGACATCTATTGAGTATATATACATCAGTGTAAACTGCTTCTGCCCAAAACGTATTTGGCAAGCCTTTCTCCTTCAACATTGATCTTGCCATCTCCATGACAGTGCAATTTTTTCTCTCTGAGACACCATTTTGTTGTGGAGAATATGCGACTATAAGTTGTCGCTCAATACCTTCATCCTCACATAATTTATCAAATTCGTGGGAGGTGTACTCTTTGCCTCGATCGCTCCTGAGAACTTTTATCTGTTTTTCGCTTTGCTTTTCGACAAGGGCCTTAAATTTTTTTAATATTCCAAAGACTTCTGATTTTGCTTTAATGAAGTAGACCCAAGTCATTCTAGAAAAATCATCAATGAAAAGAATGAAGTACATGTTGTTATTAAGCGATGGAGTCCTCATCGGTCCGCAAATATCTGTGTGGATTAACTCCAACAAGTCTTTTGCTCTCCAAGTATTTCCCATAGAAAATGGTAATCTGTGTTGCTTTCCCAGAAGACATCCTTCACAAGCTTCGCTACTCTCCTTAAGCCTTGGTAGATCTCTCATCATGTCTTTTTGATGTAGTAGCTTTAAGGCATGAGTATTGAAGTGGCCAAATCTACGATGCCATAGCCACGAGTCATCAACTTCTACTTTCATGGCAATGTTAGTTCCTCGATTGAAGCTTATAGGAAAACTTCTATTTCTCTTTTTCATTTTTACTTGACCAATCTCTAGATTTTTCTTATCATAGATAGTGCATGTATCTCTTTCAAAGTGAAGAGTATATCCTTTCTACATCATTTGACCAATACTTAAGAGATTTTCTTTAAGATTGGGAACTAGTAAGACATCATTGATAAGTCTCATACCTTTCTTGGTCTCCACCATAACACTACCTTTTCCTTTTGACTCTACCACGGTGCCATTTCCCAATCGTACTTGAACTTTGATGGAGTTATCAATTTCTTTGAAGATGCTTGGATCATTCGCCATATGGTTACTACACCCGCTGTCCAAGTACCATCTTCCTTTTGATTCATTGTCAGAACATCCCGTAGCATAGAAGAGATGTTGTTCTCTGTCCTGTTCTTCGGAAAAATTTGCTTTTTGATGATTTTTGTTGCGACACATTTTCTCTAGATGTCCAAATTTCTTACAGTATTGACATTGAGGTTTTCCTCGATGCCAACAATCTTTTTCCAAGTGACTTGTCTTTTTGCAAGTTCCACATGGAGGATATTTTCCTTGAATAGTCTTGGAAAAATTTCTAGAATTTTCCTTATTCTTAGAAAGTTCTCTATTAATTTTATTTCCTCCATTTTGAGACCGTAATTTTAGTTTTGATTGAAAGGCATTTTCGAATGAGTCTTCTTCACGCCTTTTCAATCTTTGTTCATATGCTTCAAGAGAGCCTATTATTTGTGTCACCGATAATGTAGATAAATCTTGTGTTTGTTCAATTGTAGTTGCAATTGCATCATATTTTTGGGGAATAGAAATTCGAATTTTCTCAACAATTTTTTGGTCAAGAATATTTTCCCCATAGGTTCTCATCTGACTAACTATTTCTTTTATTCTAGAATAATAATCTTTTATGGTCTCAGATTCATTCATTCTTATTAACTCAAATTCTCTTCTTAGTGAATGAAGTTTAATATTGCGTACCTCATCACTTCCTTGAAACTCCTCCTGAATTGTATTCCAAGCTTCCTTTGCACTTGTGACACCCATTATTCTTGGAAAAATAGTGTCATCAACTGCTTGCTGAAGAGTAAATAATGCCCTTGAATCCTTCTGTTTGTTTTCCTTCAACTCCTTCCTCTGGGAAGCTGTAAGAGTTGAGATGTCTTCTGGAATAGTGAACCCATCTTCTATGACATCCCAAAGATCTTGAGAACAAAAAAATGTCCTCATTTTGACTCTCCAAAAATCATAATTTTCTCCCTTAAAAATAGGAACTGGAATGGATGATGTTTGGTTGGTAGTGGCCATAGGTTGAAAATTTTCTTTTGGAAGTAATGTGTAGTGGAATATGGTTTTTTATGGTAGTAAAAAATTTTCTCTACGCCCAGTAGGTGACCGAACGTAGCTCTGGTACCACCGTTAATATTTTAAGAAGGATAGGAAAGATAGTTTGATGTTTAGTAGTGAGATTTGTGTAGAAAATAGTTTTTAGAAAGAGGTGGACAAATAGGAGAAGGTTTGTATGAGGGAAGATAGTAATTGATGTTAGAAGTGTTACAAGATATGTAGGAGCTTGTATTAGATTTTCCACTTATACAAAGACTTCCTTCATGCCTATTTATAAGCTTTACTTACAAGATTCTAGAATTTTCTACTAATTTCATTGTTTCTATACTATTCTATTTCTACACATTTCTTTTTCTTTTTCTTTTTCTAGAATCATGTTGTAGCTTCTACTAGTACACATATGTGTACTAGTGCACAGGTGGTGATAGTTTCCAAATGCTTTTTCACCCAGAAATCAATCATTATATCTTGAAATTTGAACATAAGAAGTACTTTTCTAATAAAAGGGTTAAACCACTTGTAGATTCTTTTTTGGTGAAGGACCCTGCTTTATTTTCATGTGAAATTATTGAATGCCGTTGAAGACTAAATAGCCATAATATTTGAAAAATGTGTATGCAGAAAGTTCAAAAGGGTTTGCTGGGCATTACCTTGAACAATGACTGGTTTTTGCCAGCAAATGACAACATAACAGATCGAGAAGCTGCACGTAGAGCCCTTGACTTCAGGTTTGGATGGTAAGGTTATACTTATACTCAACTATTCTCATATCTTGAAAGGAAGGTATACAAAGAGACTATTTCTTTATGTATTCTCTGAAACCAGTATAAAATTGAACGTAAATTTTGTATTAATTCAATTGGAGTTTAAATAGAAACATATTTTCAATCAAATGTATATATTATCAAATTTTAACTTATAACCAAATAACTATGGTTAGAAATTCGAACTCAATCTTATCAAATTGACAGATTAGATTAAAGACTTTTTATTACTCTTTACTAGTTGATGTTGATATTTTTCAAGAAGCCTCTCACTTAAGGAAGATTTTTCTACCGTACTCTCAAGTATCAAGGAAGAGAGATCCAATATTAATCCGATAATGATTAATTTAATCCAGAAGTGTTAACGGTTAATGTTCAAATATATCCACGATTTTATAAATGATGAACAATGTCATATCTTAATTATTAATTTTCGAGGTCAAATAATATATTATTGATAAATTAATATAAAAAGTAAAAAAAATGTTAAAAGGTAAGAAGTCAAAATTATAAATATATAAGTATATTTAATAGTCATTAAGTTTAGGTCAAAATCATATTAGTGGCAAAGGATTGACACTCCCTCACCTCTTAAGAAGATTCAGTAGGGACGATGAGGAACCTAATTTAGCCTAACAAAATTGTTTTACTAAACAACTATTGTGTCTCCAAGGCAACCTAGGATTTCTCAAGTCACCTCTTTCATATATGTTTGCCAAACCAAGTTTTAGCATCAAGTAATTTTAAGATGAGATATGACGTAATGTCAGAACCTATAATCATCCTGGTAATTGTTTATTTTAATATTTTTACCTGGTTAGATAGACATATATGGACAGGATGTATTTGGAAATCCTATATTATGTTGAGAATTCAATTCAAGTGTGAGTTTGAAGTCTCACATTGGATAGAAATAAGAAGTTCATTAACTTATAAGTGAGAAAGACCCATAATGTGTTAAGGTTTTGGGTTGAAGGTGGTATCATATTCTCTTGTATAGTTGGCTCATGACCTATTTGTGATAATATCCCTGTAAACAGTGTTATTAGAACCAATAGTTCATCGAGTGACCAACTAAGGATTTCTCGTACTCATGGCTAAAATATGCTTTTGCGGGGGAGTATACCAACATATTATCATCTGGTTGAATGACCAGCTAAGGGTTTCAAGTTTTTGACAAGTCATCACTAGGTCATGCTTCCGCTCGAGGGAGGTATACCAATGGACATTGGGTATTATAAATGAGAAAACTATTAGTTGCCTCGGAAATACCCAACTTAATTAAGTTTGAGATTTAATATATGTATTCTGCTGTTATGAAATTAAAAAAGTGTTGATGACATCTGCATTTTGCATTTCTGATTAGGTATATGGATCCTCTCACAAAAGGTGAGTATCCAACAAGCATGCAACACTTGGTGGGAAACCGTCTACCAAGGTTCTCCAAAGAAGAAGCCAAACAACTCAAAGGGTCGTTTGATTTTCTGGGTCTAAACCACTATGCAACCGTTTATGCTGGCCATGCACCTCGTCTACGTGGTTCCAAACCATCCCTTCTAAATGATCCTCTTGTTTATACTACAAGTAATTATCACTTCTCTTGAATTTTCAAACAATAAATTATTATACGATATGAAAACATGTTTTTTAACGACAGATGAACGTGACGACCAGATTCTTTGTCCATATGTATGTATTTTATCATTTCATTGACTTCTACGTTACTTTTCAATGCTTCAAACACTACAAGAAAAAACACATTTAGCCACCGAATTTTTTCGGTCGCAATTAGCGACCGATTTAATTTTGGTCGCAATTAGAGACCGATTTAGTGACCACTTTAATTCGGTCGCAATTAGCGACCGATTTAGCGACCACTTTAATTCGGTCACAATAAGCGACCGATTTAGCGACCAAAATATGATTTGGTTTTCACTTTTTTATTTAGCGACCGAAATAGCGACCAATATTTTGCGTCGCAAAATTTCGGTCGCTAAATCGGTGGATATTTCATACATAAATAAAAAAATCATTTAGCGACGGATTTAGCGACCGAATTACAAATTGAAATAGTGACCGAATTAAAATCGGTCGCTAATGAGAAAATAATCGATGATTTTATCTGATTTTTGCAATATCGCTCAAGCGAAAATAACATCGCTCGAGCGATGCCACCTGCACAAAATTGACATTCTCGGGTTGTATTTCGCTTGAGCGACACTATTCTGGATCGAGCGACATCCGATTCAAACATGAGGTCACCCATGTTACATTATCCGACTAACTTTGATCGACGTTTACGCAGGTCAACATTCGCTCAAGCGAAAGTAACATCGCTCGAGCGACGCCACCTGCACAAAATTGGCATTCTCGGGTTATATTTCGCTTGAGCGACACTGGTCTCGCTCGAGCGATATCTGATGCAAAAATGTGTCAATAAATAAATAAAATATTTGTCACTTTTAAGAGCGATTAATATTTACACCGCTCTTAAAAGTGAACATATAATAGCGGTTCCAAGTGAATTGCTATCATATACAACCACATTTTTTTATTTTGATCGATTAGATTTTCAAATGATCGATCATATTTGATAATTTTTTCAAATAATTAATTATAATCGATTAGTTTTCTAAATTATTGATTAGAATTGATTAGTTTTTCAAATAATAGATTATAATTGATTAATTTAGGAAATATATATTAAAAAATTATAATTAAAAATATAAATTATTTAAGAATATTAACTATTGTAAAGATAAAGTAGAACATGAGAGGAGATGAGGATGATAATATAATGATAGAACTTACAAAAATGTAGAATTGAGAAGTTTAAAACAAAAAAAATTAAGAAAATAGAGATTTAATTACACTTGTTAATAAATTTAAGATAATACTAGTTTTGATTTTTATTTTTAAATATTTATTTTAATTTTTTAAAACAGAGAAACTATAATTTTAGTTTCTAAATACTCAATTTAAAGAAATAAATTTATTATTATTTAATCTTTTAATTTTAGTATTAAAAATTTAAATTATATTTTATTAAATTAAAATAATTACAATATATTTTTCTACTTTGAGAATGAACAATATAATTAAACTCAAAATTGACAATATTATAATACATTTTTGAACTCTTTTGGATTAATTTTTTTTCCTAATTTTTGATAAAGTTAATTTTAATATTTAAAAGTATTTAACATTTTGAATTCTGAAAGGTTTTCTCTAATAGCAAATTTAAAAACATAATATTCAAAAAAATAGTTAATGTAAGTTTTCATTATGATCGATTATATTTTGAAATGATCGATCATAATTGAAACAATATAATAGCGATTCCACGTTAACTCGCTATCTAAAATATATTTTAGATAGCTGTTAAGGTTTAACCGCTATTAGAAGTGCGCTTTTAAGAGCGGTTCAAGTGGAACCGCTATCATATACAACCACATTTTTTTATTCTGATCGATTAGATTTTCAAATGATCGATCATATTTGATAATTTTTTCAAATAATTAATTATAATCGATTAGTTTTCTAAATTATTGATTAGAATTGATTAGTTTTTCAAATAATAGATTATAATTGATTAATTTCTAAATATATATTAAAAAATTATATTTAAAAATATAAATTATTTAAGAATATTAACTATTGTAAAGATAAAGTAGAACATGGGAGGAGATGAGGATGATAATATAATGATAGAACTTACAAAAATATAGAATTGAGAAGTTTAAAACAAAAACAATTAAGAAAATAGAGATTTAATTACACTCGTTAATAAATTTAAGATAATACTAGTTTTGATTTTTATTTTTAAATATTTATTTCAATTTTTTAAAACAGAGAAACTATAATTTTAGTTTCTAAATACTCAATTTAAAGAAATAAATTTATTATTATTTAACCTTTTAATTTTAGTATTAAAAATTTAAATTGTATTTTATTAAATTAAAATAATTACAATATATTTTTCTACTTTGAGAATGAACAATATAATTAAACTCAAAATTGACAATATTATAATACATTTTTGAACTCTTTTGGATTAATTTTTTTTCCTAATTTTTGATAAAGTTAATTTTAATATTTAAAAGTATTTAACATTTTGAATTCTGAAAGGTTTTCTCTAATAGCAAATTTAAAAACATAATATTCAAAAAATAGTTAATGTAAGTTTTCATTATGATCGATTATATTTTGAAATGATCGATCATAATTGAAACGATATAATAGCGGTTCCACGTTAACCGCTATCTAAAATATATTTTAGATAGCTGTTAATGTTTAACCGCTATGAGAAGTGCGCTTTTAAGAGCTGTTCCAATGGAACCACTATCATATACAACCACATTTTTTTATTCTGATCGATTAGATTTTCAAATGATCGATCATATTTGATAATTTTTTCAAATAATTAATTATAATCGATTAGTTTTCTAAATTATTGATTAGAATTGATTAGTTTTTCAAATAATAGATTATAATTGATTAATTTCTGAAATATATATTAAAAAATTATAATTAAAAATATAAATTATTTAAGAATATTAACTATTGTAAAGATAAAGTAGAACATGGGAGGAGATGAGGATGATAATATAATGATAGAACTTACAAAAATATAGAATTGAGAAGTTTAAAACAAAAAAAATTAAGAAAATAGAGATTTAATTACACTCGTTAATAAATTTAAGATAATACTATTTTTGATTTTTATTTTTAAATATTTATTTCAATTTTTTAAAACAGAGAAACTATAATTTTAGTTTCTAAATACTCAATTTAAAGAAATAAATTTATTATTATTTAATCTTTTAATTTTAGTATTAAAAATTTAAATTATATTTTATTAAATTAAAATAATTACAATATATTTTTCTACTTTGAGAATGAACAATATAATTAAACTCAAAATTGACAATATTATAATACATTTTTGAACTCTTTTGGATTAATTTTTTTTCCTAATTTTTGATAAAGTTAATTTTAATATTTAAAAGTATTTAACATTTTGAATTCTGAAAGGTTTTCTCTAATAGCAAATTTAAAAACATAATATTCAAAAAAATAGTTAATGTAAGTTTTCATTATGATCGATTATATTTTGAAATGATCGATCATAATTGAAACGATATAATAATGGTTCCACGTTAACCGCTATCTAAAATATATTTTAGATAGCGGTTAATGTTTAACCGCTATGAGAAGTGCGCTTTAAGAGCTGTTCCAATGGAACCACTATCATATACAACCACATTTTTTTATTCTGATCGATTAGATTTTCAAATGATCGATCATATTTGATAATTTTTTCAAATAATTAATTATAATCGATTAGTTTTCTAAATTATTGATTAGAATTGATTAGTTTTTCAAATAATAGATTATAATTGATTAATTTCTGAAATATATATTAAAAAATTATAATTAAAAATATAAATTATTTAAGAATATTAACTATTGTAAAGATAAAGTAGAACATGGGAGGAGATGAGGATGATAATATAATGATAGAACTTACAAAAATGTAGAATTGAGAAGTTTAAAACAAAAAAAATTAAGAAAATAGAGATTTAATTACACTGTTAATAAATTTAAGATAATACTAGTTTTGATTTTTATTTTTAAATATTTATTTCAATTTTTTAAAATAGAGAAACTATAATTTTAGTTTCTAAATACTCAATTTAAAGAAATAAATTTATTATTATTTAATCTTTTAATTTTAGTATTAAAAATTTAAATTATATTTTATTAAATTAAAATAATTACAATATATTTTTCTACTTTGAGAATGAACAATATAATTAAACTCAAAATTGACAATATTATAATACATTTTTGAACTCTTTTGGATTAATTTTTTTTCCTAATTTTTGATAAAGTTAATTTTAATATTTAAAAGTATTTAACATTTTGAATTCTCAAACGTTTTCTCTAATAGCAAATTTAAAATCATAATATTCAAAAAATAGTTAATGTAAGTTTTCATTATGATATAATGAGAAAATAATCGATCATTTTATCTGATTTTTGCAATATCGCTCAAGCGAATTTCACATCGTTCGAGCGACGCCAACCGCTAAGATTGTGAAGTCTCGGGTTGTATTTCGCTTGAGCGACACTATACTCGCTCGAGCGACATCCGATTCAAACATGAGATCACCCATGTTACATTATCCGGCTAACTTTGATTGATGGTTACGCAGGTCAACATTCGCTCAAGCGAAAATAACATCGCTCGAGCGACGCCACCTGCACAAAATTGGCATTCTCGGGTTGTATTTCACTTGAGTGACACTGGTCTCGCTCGAGCGACGCCACCTGCACAAAATTGGCATTCTCGGGTTGTATTTCGCTTGAGCGACACTGGTCTCGCTCGAGCGATAAATGTTAGATAGTGGTTAAGGTTTAACCGCTATTAGATGTTCACTTTTAAGAGCGGTTCAAGTGGAACCGCTATCATATACAACCACATTTTTTGATTATGATCGATTACATTTTCAAATGATCGATCATATTTGAAAATATATAATAGCGGTTAAGGTTTAACCGCTATTAGATGTTAACTTTAAGAGCGGTTCCAGTGGAACCG